AGAGAGAGAGAGAGAGAGAGAGAGAGAGAGAGAGAGAGAGAGAGAGAGAGAGAGAGAGAGAGAGAGAGAGAGGATTAGCACGGCCTGTGTGCAGGGATTACATACATGACTGCTGCTGTTTTAACATCGCAGTGTGTGCATATGGTTCAAGGTTGGGATAGAAACATGATTATCCTCATCATTTTTTCTTTCCCCTTTTGTCGGTTTTATTTTCTATGATGGAAACTGTTTTACAAACGACGTATATACCATTGGAAGTGCAGTGAACTAGCTCACACAGAGAGAGAGAGAGAGAGAGAGAGAGAGATTGCTGTGCTTGAACCATGACTGATCGCTTTTAGGCACGAACTGGAAATGACTGCTCTTTCTATTGCAAGGCTCAAGGCCTCGATACGCCCTACTGGGCCCTATTTTCAGTACAGTCGGCCGCCCTAAGTGAAGGCAGGCTCGACCAAGGCCTACAGGCCCATTTTTGGGGTCACCACGCAACTGGGGAAATTCAGGCAGTTGCGCAGTGCCAGTTGGTTGAGAGCACCCAGGCCCAGGATGCCTTTTTCGTATGTAACTGAGGCAGGCCCTGGGCCAGATACGCAAAATGGGCCGAACACAGGCTGCGGGCAGTTGAGCACGGGTAACCACCACAGGCCCTGGGCCTGATTCGTTCGGACTGGGGCTCAGCCTCATGGGGCCTACCGGAAGCTTCTGGACCGAGGCCCAATGCAGGCAGGCCGCACGCAGAAGGTGGGTCACTTCCATTTAGGAAAGTGCCTGCCTCAGGACTCCTGATTCGGGCACTGGCTGCATGCTGTGCAAGCGCTGCTGCGCTTAACGCTGGCCAGGCTCACGCGCTCACGGGCGAGCAGGGAGAGGCAGGCAGCCATAGCCGAGCTGCGCTGCATAGCTGGAGGGGGCGCATGGTGGCCCTTGGGTGCACGTGGCATCTGTGAGTGGGGGATCGAGGCTGTGAGTGATACGAGAGACATACCTGGTGCTTGAGGCGAACGGCATTGGCCGAGATCTGTACTTCGGGGAGCTGTTGACGTCACCGGCGGCATTGTAGATAGGCTAGATAGGATCTGCCACTTGTAGTCTGGGCGCAGAGCGCCAGATAGGATGTCGGCATTGGTTCTTTGTTGATGATGATGAGACTATTCCAACATTGTCACTTATGAGCTTTTGCGGTGCTCTTATTTGGTGGAACTCATGTTGCAATTCTGCTTTTGGTTCGAGGTCACGACTATCTGGTCTCATGTGTATGATGCTGCTTGGTTTCTGAAGTTCGCTATCGCTCATTTTCCTTGCACTATGTTGGGTGTGTGTGCATATTGTTCGAGATAAAGTGCATGTGTTATGATCCTGGCCAATTTCGAAGTGCACATTAATGGGAAAGTGCAATGCCGTCCAATTGCAAAAAGAAATGAATGAATTTGACAGAAGAGAGAGGGAAAGAAGAAAAAGAAGATGAAAGAAAGAAGAAGAAGAAGAAGATGTACACCAGCAAATACCAATGATAATTCCCTTCTCCTTCGCCAACCACTCTCCTCCTCCTTATCTCCTCCAATCTCATTCAAACAAGAAATAATAATAATAATGTTGAATGGCTGAACCAGAATCAATGTGCGAATCCCTCTTCTACTGCAGGTATCACATGAGGTCCTCCATAGCCATGGCCACCCTTCTTCCTCCTTCCTCCAAGGCCGAGGCTGTGGCGGACTACCAGGGCTTTGCCCTGCTGTGCGAAGGACAACACAAAGCAGCTGTGGCTGCTCCTGTTCAGGCCGCCATGCCTGACTCTGCCTCGAAGCTTCTTGGTGTAGCTCTACCCCACTGGGGGCTTCTTGCTGCAGCGCCCACCTAGGTGAGGAAGATGGCAACCACCATAGCCAGGTAAGTACCTCTGGCGCTCCCTCTTCCTAGTCCTGGTTTTCTTCCTCCTCCTGTCCTTGCTCCTTCCCCAGCAGCGCTGCTCCGATGCTAGCATCCTCCAGCCAGCAACCAGTGTGTCGCCAAACATGCACACCGACAATGAGGAGGAGCACTTCGCTCCTCCTGGAGATATAGCGGCCTGCTTGCCTCTAGGCGAGTGACTTCCTAGGCCGCGCGGCCTCCAAGCAACCAGTACCTCCTCTATTCGGAGGGAAACATCATTGCAGACTCTGATATTGCCCGTACAGGCCCTAGACTCAGACTGGTTGGACTGGTACCCGCCTAGACCTAGCCTAAAACTACTGGGCCTCTAAAAATGCCAACTTTGTCTTCTTCTGCTCGGCCTCGAGTACCCAACACATCTACCTCTTCCTGGTGTGGTACCGGCCTCCCTGCTATTTGAGTGTTTTTTTTCGGCTGCTTCAAGTGTCGCGGGCCTCTTTCCCCGCCACTTCAGTGTTTTCCCCACTGCAACCCTCAATGTCACGGGCACAGGTAAGTACCGGCCCTTTGGGCCTTCCACACGGACAAGCACCCTCGCGGGTCACACACACACACACACTCGAACCGACAAGCACTCAGACAGGCATGCAGAGCAGCAAGCACGCACACACTCAGACTTAGAAAACTCAGCAACAAGCGGCAAACTCAGCAAGGAATACATTCCATTGGCAAAATTCAGAAATCAGCTTGTGTGTCTTAGTCCGTGTGTTGGCAGGTGCTAACACTACCCCCCTCTCAAGAGAGCGAGGTCCCTTCGAGCGAGTAACTCATTCTGAGTCCCCGACAAACGCGTCGTAAGCGAGCATAGCGAATAGATTCCGTGAGTACTCAGTGGCAGTGAGTTTTGCATAGATTTTGGGAACAGAATCGGACCCTATCTGTCGTTCGTATGCTTTCACAACGCGAGGTGCACTGCACAGCAGTTCCTTCTTAGAGATCCAACAGAGATCATCCAACGGGTGGTACATGAAATGAACCTGATATTGTCTGTTACGTCCCTTCCCAATGTGATTTTTAATTCTATCTATCTCGTGACCGCCATTGATTGCACGAGGGATAATGTCTTCACGATAATCGAAGGATTTAGCATCACGATATATAAACAATTTTGATGCATGAAAGACTGGGTACGTGTGCAGATGAGGAGGCATGACAATTACAGATGACGGAGCGAACTTATCGTCACCGATCACATCCTGTGATCGAAGCCTTCCACGGACCGTAATATAGAGAGGGAGAAGTTTGCCTGACACTCCCTCTTCTCTCTTCTTCCGAAAATTCAGAATGCAATACAAAAAGGTCATCCAAGAGAATGGGAGCCGGGAGGGGAAACACACACACACACACACACACACACACACACACACACAGAGACAGAGGAGGGAGCGAGGGCCGGAGGCGGGTGGAGGGGAGAGGGTGGGTGGGAAGAACATAGGAAAGAGAGAACCAATGGGTTGCGGCCGTAGCTTCGATTGATGACCATGATGAGAAGTTCCATCGCCCGAGTTTTATCCTACCTTGTCTTCGTTGACTATGTAGCAGGAGTATTCGTCATCCCAGCCATCGTGGAGCTCGTTGGTACGCACAAACTCTCCCACGTTGATATGCCGCAATCCGGTCGCATTCGCCAGCATGCTGGACGTAGAAGTCTTCCCACATCCTGGCGTACCGGTCACCAGAATATTTGGTCCTCTAGGGCGACCGGTAGGCCTGTTCGACGCCATGCTGTGTGACCGACCTTCGTTGCCAATCTGCGGAGTTGGCGACGGCATGCCCATTCTCCACTTTCTTCCCCTCCTCCTCCTCCTCCTCCTCCTCCGGTCCCCTCTCGCCTACACAGCTTTCGCCTTTGCACTAACCCTAGTCCGAACCGTGGTCACTTTTTTCACGTGGTCTGGTCTCGTTGCCTGCTAGCCAAGTGCGGTGCTTTACAATTGGCCTCCAACGCGCCAAGCAATTTCCCGCCGACCAGGCGTTTCACTCCCGCGCTCCTCGAACAGCATTGAATTTCAGGCCCCGCCGTGCCACGCGAATTGATGTCTTCGACCGCTGGATTCAAACTCACGTCTGCAATTCAACAGTTTCATGTGTACATCAACTGAGCAGCCTGCCAATGTGCAAAATGAGAAGGAATCTTCGGCAAGAACATAGTAAGATACACCGTGACGGACATACATTGAAAAGAAATCCCAGTGTGAGTATGGACTGAGGAGCTTTCAGATGCACATGTCCCACAGAGAGAGAGAGAGAGAGAGAGAGAGAGAGAGAGAGAGAGAGAGTTTTCCATCCATAGGATGAGCAAATGGGAATGAATCTGTCGCTACAACATGGAAATATACTGCCACATTTTCGGTCTTTGGCAGTGTATATTTCCATGTTGTGGCAGTGGATACTTCCATGTTCTACGGGAAGATTCCATTCCATTTTGCTCATTTGGTAAAGTGTGGCAATGTCGGTCTCTGTATGTGTGTGTGTGTGTGTAGGATGAGCAAAATAGGAATGAATCTTCGGCCAGAACATGGGAATATACACTGCCACACTTTTTTTTTTCTTTTTTCTTTTTTCTTTTTTTGGTGTGCGTGTGTGTGTGTGTGAGAGAGAGAGAGAGACAGAGAGAGAGAACAGGTAAGTCTCCAACCTCGCGGCTGGCCTTCATGGTACTTCCATCGATAGGATGAGCAACATCGAATGAATCTACCACTAGAACATGGAAATATACACTGGCACTTCTTTTTCTTTTTTTCTTCTCTTTTTGTGTGCGTGTGTGTGTGTGTGTGTGTGTGTGTGTGTGTGTGTGTGTGTGTGTGTGTGTGTGTGACACGGAGAGAAGGAGAGATAACAGGTAAGTCTCCAACCTCGCAGCTGGCCTCACGCTACTTCTGCTAGGATTGCACGGTTGCTGTGCTCCATATTATTTCCTATACAGGTAAAACTGTTTCATTTTGTGGAATACCTCAACTGGAGTGTGCTTCGTTGTCTGCAATAAGAGGGCTAAAGCTGCTGCTTATTTTGGCTCTACTCATTTGGAGGATTAAGGGCTGTTGTGGTGACAATCCGAAACACACACACACACACACGCACGCACGCACGCACGCACACACACACACACACACACACACACACACACACACACACACACTTTATGACTGTGAGTCCTGTGACCGATTATTTTCTCAGACTTACTGCATTTCTAGGGGGTTGGACCGACATTCTGCTACCGTCTTCACCCCAATATAACGCTCGGTCATTATAGCCGTATTTGGCACAACTTCCAGCCCAGATACGGCGATAATTCCCGGGCGTTCTATTCGGGTGAAGACGGTAGGATTGCAGGGTTGGTGCGCCTAAAGGTGACCACTTTTCTCCCTGAGGGGATACAGCTAACGCTGGGCGACGGGGCGAATCCCTCTATCCATCAGTCAAGTACATCCTGGGCAGACTGTCGGGGCCCAACCTCCTCATGACGATTCGGCCAAAGCCGAAACAGTCTGGCATAGTGATGATTCTGTTTGTGCAGTTGTCTATAGCGAGCACACACACACACACACACACACACACACACACACACACACACACACTCTCTCTCTCACACACACACACACACACACAATGCGTGGGGCCAAAACAAAACACAGCATCGGCACGATTCGATTCTGTTTCGTCGCGGTGTGTGGGCCGACCCTCGCGGCCTTGTAGTTTTTTTTTTCCCTTGGGCCCATCGGCTGGGCCTGGGCTGCGTGGGCCGAAATGTTTTGCGCCGGCCACGTGGCTTGAAACGTTTTCAGGCTGGCCGTGTGGTCCCCCTCCAGGTAGGGCGAACTGTGGGGCCCAGGGAAAGTTTCACGTACACCCAGTGGGTGCCTGCTGATGGGGACAGTTTTTTCACTTTTTCAAGTATTAAATCACCAGTGCAGCGTCGGCTATTCAGAAACGCTCACTACTGGGCGTATACACGGAGCAAAATCACAGTGTGGGCTTACCATACCCAAGGGGTAAACGGTGTGTGTGTGTGCAAAAGCGAGTACCCAAACTTGTTTATTTTTAAATTTTTAAATCTAATTTCTGGTGGGGGAAAAATCCGGAAAAATCAGGGATGCTGGTTAAGGTTCCTCCGCATACCCAAGAGCCTAGCTCAGTGGGTACACCCATGAACGGTTGAAATACAGACCTGTGTTCGAATCCAGATAATGGAACTTGACGAGTAAAACCAACTACTTATGAATTGCTCGGGGCCGGTCAGCTCAATGATAATATCTCAAGGCCGT